GTGTGCACAAGGCTGCCCAGGCCCTGACACCAGTCAGAAAAGTCAGGTGGAGGCTGGACCTGAGAGGAGAGCTTCCTAGAGGCTTTACAGAAAGCTCACAAATGTGGGGAAGAAGCAAAATTTCTCAGATTTCAAACAAAAGGAAAGAAAATTCTTCACAAATTTGTCATGTCAATTCACCAAAAGTTTTAATGATACAGGGAGAAAAACTGATCTCGGTGGGTGACCTCCAAATGATACTGGGAACGTCCAAATGACATAGGGGAAAAACAATCTCCTGACCTGACCTGCAGGAGTTTGTGTCCTCTAAAACTGAAGAATGAATTTTAGGAACAAACGGAGGTTATGAGCAGAATATATTTATTGAGGGAAAGAAAGCTCCTGTCCAAGAGAGGGACAGGAGGGGGGCCCTGAACGGGTAGTTCCACGGGAAGCTGTCTCTTCCAGGGTCCTTATAGTGTAAAACCATGTGGGGCAAAGGTAGAGAGAATGGGAACTCACTTAGGTGGGCAGGAGGTGGGACAAAACTATGGTCAACCAATGGGATTACAAGCACCATTGCTCAGGTAAGACTGATTAAATCCAGTAACAAATGGGAAAGCGAGTCATCTAGCAAGCAGGCATGAATATGGGACAGGGACAGGGTCTTTTCCTTTTGGGGGTTGGAATACAGGACAGGGTCTCTATCTGTTGGGGGTTGGGCTAGTGACTCACTTGGGTCTTTCCAGGTGATTGATACCTATTTAGAATATCAATCCCAGGTGCTACTCGGTTAGCATTTGTTTGGCCTTTAGGTCTTTAGGTCTGGTTCACAGCAGGAGCATCCGCCCCGCCCACAGTTGTAAGGCATCTCATCTTCTGTGCTGTCTCCTTTGAGGGTCTGGCCCTGTCTGACTGCCTATATTTCTATCTAACTCGGCTGCCTGCAATATTAACATTATAAATTAGTGGTTAAATTCTGTGTTTATTAATAGGATGTTTTAAAGAGAATTTTAAAAAAATAAGAAACGATACAGAATTTCACTAAGAAAAATAATAGGATTTTTAACAGTTGTGTGTTGATGAGATTTTCTGTGCCTTATCAAGAATGCTGATTGCCTACAAACATGAAATTAACTACTTTTGTGGAGCTCTTTTGGAGCAACACCTGAAAAAAGCAGTGTGCTATGAGGACAAGAGATTACAGTCTGCTATGAGTTCAGTTAAGTCATCCCCAGCTGAATGTGCTGGCACCTCTTTATAATCCCAGAACTTCGGAGGCTGAGGCAGGAAGATCTCAAGGACAGGGCCAGCCTGGGGAACTTATCAAAGCCCTGCCCCCAAAAAACACATAAAAAGTTAAATTAAAAATCTTAAAAATTGGGCAGGCCAAATAGCTCAGCTAATTAAAGCACCTGAAAGCAGGGAAGGGGCCAGGCCTGGACCCCCAGGCCTGCCATGCCAGCCCTGCCCCTGGGGCACGCTGAGACTGTGATTGAGACTGGGTGTGGTGGTGCACGCCTGTAATCCCAGCTCTTGGAAGGCTGTTAACAGGAGAATCACTATGAGTCCAATCTAGTAGTGAGACCCTGAACACCCTGTAGACTCTTCCCTAAATACAGGGAAGTGCTTATTCTACTGAGCCATCTCCCCAGTCATCTTCCTTAAATACAGAAAAAATAAATAAAAATAAAAATCTTAAAAATTAAGTAAGTCAAGGGGCCGGGGAAATGGCTCAGTAGAATAAGCACTTGCCTGGCAAGCACAAGGGCCTGAGTTCAATCCCCGGTTCTGCAAAAAAAAAAAAGATTCTATCTGGAATCTAAATTAATTAAAAAAATAAGTAAATCAGATCTCATCACACAACAAACAAAAAATCGTTGTTCATTTTCAATGGTAAAAGTTTACCCTAAAAAGTCATAAGGTGATGGGGAAATATAATTACTCCTCTGACAGAATTCTTGGATGTGTGAGAGAACAGTAGAGTGGTGTAATTTGATGAACCCTCAGAGCCATTCCTTTTTTTTTTTTTTGGCAGAACTGGGGATCAAACTCAGTCCCTTATGCTTGCCAGGCAAACGCTTATTCTACTGAGCCATCTCCCTGGCCCCTTTCAGAGCTATTTCTGTTGTAAGGTGCAGAATAAGCGAGTGACCATGCTGAGCATGAAGATGGGCCTCAGCAAATTTCCTGAAGGCTGCAATTGTTAGACGAATGATGCTTTCATTATTTTGTAATGAGAATAAAAATAGTAAAAACAAAGGGGGGTCTGTTCAGAAGGAGCAACACTTTTTTATTTAAAATCTTCAATAAGTGTCTTTACAGATGACCAGTTCAGTGGGTAGATATTGATTGATTAATTAAAAAGTTTTGCAAAGTATAAAATTATAAAACAAAATACATAGTGTGGTGAATTGACTAGAGGGCACTTTGTAACACCCAGCTGAATTGAATCAGCCTGGTGCTAGGTGTGGAAGGCCCCCCTGAGGATTGCTGTCAACAGCATAAAAGGAGAACTGGAGGGGAAGCTGGTGTGCTGCTGATCATCCTGGGGAAGCTTGTCATGCTGGCTTTCCTGGTATGAACTCAGCTGTCATCATTGGAGGAGCTTGGGACCTCACTGTCATTGAGGATAGCTGCTGTCCTTTTCAGGAGAAAGCTGGTCCTTATCTTGAGCATCACTTCCTGGCTCCAGTGCAGATCCCTCAGGCTGCTGACACACCCCCTTCACCCCACTGGCACAGACTTTCTGGCTTCCACCACTGATCCTGGGGCCTTCTCAGCACAGATCCTTTATGGATGTTGTCGTGGGCACAAGGCTTCCAGTTGGACTCATCAAGGACATGAATTTTAGGTCTTCAGCTGAACTCGTTCAGAACATTGCTGTGGGATCCAGGCCTTCAGCTGGATTCTTTGGGTCTGTAGTTTGTGGCCAGATCTCCCACACTGTTTTGCATTTGACTCCTTGTGTGAATATTATAAAATAGCCCTATAAATTATGTGTCCTGAATTAAATCTTTTCCCTTGTGAACTATGACTACAACTCATATGTCATAAATTTTATTTAGTATAGGATTCATAAGTGTATATTTATTAACAGAAGTAGTTTTTAATAGTCACCCTGGGTCTTTCTTTTTGATTGTGGTGATTGATATAGATTGCTTAAAGACCACTAGGTACTTAACCATGCTATGCTGTTCCTTGTTACCACTTAAATAAATATGCATTGTCAACTAGATCTCATAATTTCTAATATACATTAAGATAATTCTGTTTACTACAATACTGAAACATACCTATTTTTAGTACATCACTTCTAAATTTGCACCAAATAGTTATAGTTGTAGCCTATCTCCTTACAAACATCATACAAATACCTTCAAAATCCTGTTTTCTAGTATCTTGAATTTGCAGCTGTTACAAAAATCCTTCATTTGCTGAGAACTGCGATGTGGCTATATTTTTCTGTATTGTTCTTTCCAATATACCTATAGTGGCCTTTTGGTTCCCTATGTGTAGCTTGTATTTTAGAATGATATGAATTTCCAACCAAATGGAAAAGGCAAAATGCAAGACAAATAGAAAAATGACAATGAATAAAACCCATGGGTTCTCAAGCACTCCAAGTAGCTATCTGCATAGTGACTGAATCTGAAACATACAGGTGTGGGCAGTTTTTAGTTCTAAGAAGAATAGAACTGGAAGAATACTACACGTTTAGCTTTCAGGGTTTGAAAAGACTTATCTTTTCAAATCTCTACATATTATTAGAGCTTTCATTTCCTTGATAGGACATTAATATAAAAGATTTCTTAGATAAAAGAGAATTTAGGGTGAGCTGATTATTTTGTGGACTCTGTACATGAGCTTTGATTAGAAAATATAATGGCAGGGGGTAGATCAAACAGAAAAGTGGGTTTAGATTAGAAGAAACAGCCATCTTCAGAGGACACTGAAAGCACATTTTTAAATGACATGCCATCAAGAGAGCTCAGTCCAAACACTAGAACAGCATCAACGTAGATAAAGAAGTGGGCATTACTTATAACATATACAAGTAGTGGGTCATGATTCAACCAAAATAAGCAAGATAACATCATACAAACACCTTGAAGAAATTTGCAGGATCACAATATACAAGTGGTAAAAAATACCTCTTATCAGTTCTATCAGATCATTACTTTACCCATGATTCTGTGTTGGTTAGCTGAAAATTTAATGACTTTAAAAGTTCTGAGTTTTTTTCATGTGAGAAATAGATGACAGAAAATACAAACCTAGGGGATGGAGTCTAAATATAATCAGTCATTTCAGAAGGAAAACACTAGGAGATAAAGTAGAAAAATAACAATGAATAAGTTGCTGTAGAGCAGCCAGAAGGAAGGAAAACAGAGGAGGAGGCATCTGGCTTCCACCAGTGCTGGGAAATTTGTTGGTTTCTGCTAGTTTGTTTCTCTATCAGTTTCCTTTTAATAACAAATATATACATCTATCAAGAGAAACTAAAATTTTAGGTGTAACTTTTTGAGAATTCTCAATAGTTGCTATTTTGCTTCACATAAATCTTATTAATTTTTGTTCACTTTTCTTGTCTTTTCTTTTTTAGACAGGGTCTCACTATATATATAACAGGCTGGCCTTGAACCTGCTTGTGTACCCCAAGCTGGTTTTAAGCTTTAGCAATCGTTCTGCCTCAACCTCCTGAGAACTAGGATTACAGATGTGAGCCACCACACCTGGATTAAATCTGTTTTTTTAGCCTTTATCATTTACTTATGGTGAATACATTGAAAATCCCCTTTTGTAACTATTAGACAACATCCTTGTCAATATACATAGATTCAAAACATGTATGCAAAAATGAAAACATGTTCCAATTTCTCTTTATGTGGTATAAAATGTATATAAGGCATTACTAAAGTTTCAATTAACTCTAAATTAAAAAATGAGTAAATCAACAATATTTTTCCAATAACAGAAAAGGTCTAGAATTATGATACCCTCAAGACCTAACAAATGGCTCAAGCCCTGCTGTGTACAGAAAACAGATGAACGATGCTTCTCTGAATCTGCTTAGTTTTGATGCTATATATAATGGGGTCCATGAATGGTGGAAAGAGAAAGTAGACATAGTTCATGGTGATGTGGACCATATGTGGGGCATGCTTCCCAAACCTGTGGATGAAGGTCAGCCCAATCACGGTGATGTAGAACACCAGCACACAGCTAATGTGGGAGACACAAGTGTTGAGGGCCTTAGCTCGCTCCTCCCCAGAGGCAATGCCCATCACTGTCTTTAGAATCAGGACATAAGAAAAAACAATGATTAGTGCATCCAGAAAGAAAGTCAAAGCCACCAGAATGACTGGGTATAAGCGATTAAAGGTAATATCAGCACAGGCAAGCTTCATGACATCCTGATGGAGGCAAAAGGCATGGGAAAGAACATGGGAATGACAGTATGGGAACCAGTAGAGCCACACAATTAGAGGCACAATGGTCACAAAGCCCCTCAACATTACGCCCAGTCCTATCCTCATCACCCTGGAATTGGTAAGAATGGAGTTGTACCTCAAGGGGGAACGAATGGCAATGAAACGGTCATAGGCCATGGCAAGCAAGACCCCTGATTCGACGATGGCCAATGAGTGAATTAAATAGGACTGAGTGAAACAGACACCCTGGGCAATTTCCCTGTGGTCAAACAAGAGGACAGCCAAGACCATGGGCATGGTAGTTAATGTCATCCCAAGATCTGTACCTGCCAGGAGAGCCAGCAAGTAGTACATGGGCTCATAAAGGCTGTGGTCATTCCAAATGAGGAAGAGAAGTGTGCCATTGCCTGAAAGAATGGAGAGGTAGATGGCAAAGAAGGGGATGGAAATCCAGTGATGAACTGCTTCCAAGCCCAGAATGCCTGTCAGCAAGAAGGGAGCAGCACTGCTATTGGACCACATAGTAGGTGCTGTGGACAAAGCAGAGCTGTCTCAGGGCTTTCTAGAGAAGCAGTATTTTTCTTGTAGCACATCATCCAGCCATTTTTCACCTCTAAATCTTAAAATCCATTGATTTCCTCAGACTTTATTAATTGCAAGCTTGTAGTCACCAGGCCATTGCCTAAAATAACAAATGAAAAAAAAAATAAAATAAAATAACAAATGACCGTAGCAATCATGACAACAATCACAACTTAGTGCAAAGTATGCAACTAACTTTTTAATCACACATTTTATAATGTGTTTCTATCCTTGTTGTCTAGTCCCAAATTGCTTAACTCTGGGTCTCTTACATTCTTTCCATATTTTGATTCCCTCCTATAATGGCCTTTCCTGTGTTTCTATCCAGTTTGGGTACTTCAGGTTATTTTCTCTTTGGAACCAATGGGATATCTGAAAGCTTAATCACTAACAAAAATTCTTAATGGATATAAATGAGGTAACTATCATGAAATGTTTGAGAAATCTTGTTCTCAGCATTGCTACCTCACACATATTGTAAGTAAGGTTAGAACTCATCTAAGTGTTTGAGAAATTAAAGCCAGAGGACAAGTCCAGTCAACTCATTTCAGAAAGCTGAGATTGCTCAGTAAACCTGAGACTGGGGAAATTTTCACTGGATACATAGTTTGAAAAAAGAAAAGAAATACATTTTGGAGAGACAAAGGGAAATTTTAAGGACAGACTCCTACATTGAGCTTGTCCAGAGAAATCTCATACTGATACCAAATCATAGATGTTTTTAAAACATGTTCATCAGACAGAAAATTGTAACATCAGAAATTGATAATTGATTGTATAAAGTTCACTTAGAAGTTATTGAGGAAATTAAGGATTTCCAGAGTGGAAAAAATTATGACTTTATTGCTGATGGAGATAAAAGCATATAGACCTTCTAATCATCAGTAATCTATAAATCCTACATCAAGAAAATTAAGAAAAATTCCAGAGCTGGGAATATAGCTCAGCAGCACAGTACTTGCCTGGCAAGTGTAAAATCCTAAATTCGATTCCCAGTACCCCTCCCACACACACACACACACACACACACACACACACACACATAAAAAAAAAGAAAAGAAAGCAAGAAAATACTCCACCGAGGTATTTGAAATGTAGAAATGTAGCTGATTTCTAAGCACATGCTCAGGAAGTCAAGTTAGAAGTTTGCACGCAACCAAGAAATTTAGAAGCAGGTTTGATACAATAAATAATTGAAAACAATGATAAAGGAAGTATTAGTTTCTGCAGAGAAATTTTAATTTCCCCAAAATTCAATTGAATCTGTGTGTGTTTAGAATTTTTTATTATAAATAACTCTATGAATACCTCTAGAGAGGGTTACAGGAAGAATGAGGTGGTAGAAATCTCTGTATCCCTTCTGTCTTATAAAATTATGAAAACAACAATAAATATATGTTAGAGAATGTTGACATATGGTATCATCTGCAGTAATTACCCACAGGTCATGGAGAAATACTGGTATAAGAAGAGTTAATAAACCATGATAAAAACCCCCACCATTTCATCAGCCACTTCCGCTGTCAAAAAGTCAGCCCAGTAACAAAATTAGGAGATATTCTTTTTTATTTGGGTACTAAAAACTTTCCTTATAAATTGATCCACTGGATTATAACCTATAAATTATTACTTTGTTGACACAGCAACACTTATGTGCTGCTGCAAAGGAGTGATTTGCATGTAATTATAAAGGCCATAGCTCTTTTACACTTTAACATTGATTTATTAATAATATATTGAGCAGAGAATGAATAAATGCCACCATTTTGGCATTACCATTCCGGACTTGAAATTATACTACAAGGCTACTGTGATAAAATCAGCATGGTATTGGCATCAAAATAGACCTGAGGATCAATGGAATAGATTAGA